TGCTGACTCCAGTAGTTGTGGACCTCTGGTGCTGGTTTGGATCTTGATTTAAGAGCAGTTTGGCGCAGTCGTTCCCTTCCCCCTGCACACGTTCAGGTGACAGCAGAGCTGCGCATCCACCACTTTTTTTCACTTAGACACGTACGCCCAATGAAGCCTTTGCTCGGATGGCCACACTTTGAAAGGCCCCGACTGCCTTTCTCATTTGCACATGCACAACAGAGACGGTCCCTGCAGGTACGGGCATCCCTAGGAAACAGCAAGGCATTGTTCAGAAAGCTGAAGTCGTGTCTAAACAGGGAAGGTGGAAAGGACCTGTAACTTTGGCACATTAATACCAACATGCAACACAGCAGGCCAAGAAATATCGTGAGAAACAACTTGGAAGGCGATACCAATCTCTGGAACATTGGAAAGGCTGCAGGAGTCACAGATAGTCGAGGCAAGAACACCGAGGCAAGATCAGGCTAGCGCCAAAAAACTCAATGAGCTGCCTGCATGTGATTCCCCGCTTAGAAGCTCAGAGAGGGGCTGATGCCTGACGTCTTGCTGAGGCTACATCCCAAGAGGATCCATCTCAAGCTGATGGGTGAGAAGAATTTACATAGCAAACAGACTAACGGAACAACAGCAAAGCTTCAAACCTGGGTGGCATTCACTTAAGGGTCAAGAGGAAACTCATACTAGGAGTTGTTGAGCTGCCAACTCAAACGAATGCCGTTTTGTGGTTCAAATCATCTTGTTATCGGAAAAAATTAGAATAGAATCGAATCGAATCATTGAGGTTGGAAAAGCCCTTTAAGCTCCCCCAGCCCAACCGCTCCCCTACCCCTGCCATCCCACCCCCAAACCCTGGCCCTCAGCACCGCCTCTGCCCGGCTGTTAAATCCCCCCAGGGCTGGGGACTCGACCCCTTCCCTGGGCAGCCCCTTCCAGTGCCTGACAGCCCCAAGGGGAAGGAATTGTTCCCCATGGCCAACCTCACCCTGCCCTGGCACAACTTGAGGCCGTTTAAGAAGGTTCCAAGCAGGAATATGACAACCAGACCGGTAGAAAGTGTAATATATGATGGAATTTGTGGAAACAGATGAACATAATATTATAGGAAAGAGTCCCTATGGGTTGTGCATGAGGAAATCATGTCTCGCTGTGCTGGGGTTTTCCCAACGGGTCAGTGAGCACATGCAGAGGAGAGAACCAGCTTTGCAAAGGCGTTCAGAAAGGGCCCTCATCACAGACTTAACAAAATCCACCCGGGGTTACCATGAGAGACCAGTAGGGATTTTTCACAGCGATGTATTGCTGCATGCGCCCCAAAAAGGGGGAGGGAAGGGCAGATGGCAAGATCAGCTGGTAATGGAAGTTACTCATGATGAGGATGCAGCGGTCACAGAAGGGTTTAGGGGCTGAGTGATAAAACACAATTGGATATGGAGGAGAGCAATGGGGCACGTGAGAAGTCTCCTGAAGTGCTGGGCTGAGCATTAGCACTTCGGAATAGTTTTGGGGAGCGGTGCATCGACTTAGCGTGCACTATGTGATGGTTCAGAATGCAAATAGGATATGGGATGTTGCTGGGCAAGATGGAAAAACCAAACCTGATCCTGTTGGGGCCCTAAGGGTGCCAGAGGATCTTAATGGCTGGGGCCCAGCCTCACCTGGGACCTCCATCCGCACCCTCTGCCAGGTGTCAGAGCTGATGGATAGGTGAGGACTTTGCAGCCTGGGAAGGAAAAGGCTGGTAGAAAGGGAGGGCAAGAGAGAAGCCTCTGCTGTTACTGTCACCAGGCAGGGACTTCAGTCACCCGTGCAGCAGCGTGGGATTGAGGTTAGCCACCTCCTTGACACCCACTAACGTACTTTCTTGTCCAGGGACATCTTACCCCACCTCCAAAGCTCATGGGCAGGTCAGAACAAGTGATGCTATTTCAACCACTCTGAAGTCATACTCATGGGATCTGGCGAGAGGTGGGGAGTGTGAATGATGAGCTGTTGAGCCGGGAATCCCAATTTCGGAGTGAGTTTTATGCCCTGCTGCTACCTGCTTGCCGAGTCCCGGAGCCTCTGCTCTCTGGGCCCATCATCCTGACCGGGATGGGACTGTCGGAGAGATTCTGGCATCATGAATACTGGCTGCCACCGGGAGCTACCTGGGAAGACATGAAGGAGTCTGCAGACATACGCTACCCACAGCCTCCAGACCTCTTGCTCTGCATCCCCGGTGCCCTGCTTTTGATCGTTGTCCGATGCATCTTTGAAAGGTGAGTGCAGCAAATCTGGTTTCTCCTGTGCTGGTTGCCACCAGCACCTTGCAGGGTTGCTCCAAACTAATCCTTACCTGCTTCCTGGCCACCACAAAATGGTCAGGGGATTGTCCCCAAGAATATTGACTCTCTCTGCTTTTTGTGGCAGCTCGTATTTGCGTGGCAGCTCTTTGCCCTGCCCTTCCTCTTTCTGTACCTGTAACATAACCTGTACCAGAGGTGTGAAAAGACGAATCCGTCACCCAGTCACACCTCAACTGTGGGCAGAGGGGTCCCTCCGGAGAGAGTCCAAGTGGGATTTTGCAACACAGATAAGGGATTTGCTGGGTACATCGGTGTTGGGAACCCCCAGCTGAGCCAGGGGTCAGCCTGGTCCTAGAGGATGCTCCCAAAGGTGCTGCATGAGCCCCCCATGCTCAGCACAGAGGCAGGAGGAGGGGGTGACCATGGCTCTGCCCCGCTCTCCTCCTGGCACCAGAGATCCCCAGTTCAATCAGGGGTGATGTACTTGGTGGGCATTCTCACCTGGAGTACTGCGTCCAGCTCTGGAGCCCTCCAGCACAAGAAGGACATGGAACTGTTGGAACGGGTCCAGAGGAGGGCTACAAAAATGATCCGAGGGCTGGAGCACCTCTCCTATGAGGACAGGCTGAGAGAGTTGGGCTTGTTCAGTCTGGAGAAAAGAAGGCTACGGGGAGACCTGATTGCGGCCTTTCAGTACCTAAAGGGGGCCTATAGGAAAGATGGGGAAAATCTTTTTAGTAGGGCCAGCTGTGTTAGGACAAGGGGAAATGGTTTTAAACTAGAACAGGGTAGGTTCAGGCTAGAGGCAAGGAAGAAATTTTTTACAATGAGGGTGGTAAAACACTGGAACAGGTTGCCCAGAGAGGTGGTGGAGGCCCCATCCCTGGGAACATTCAAGGCCAGGTTGGATGGGGCTGTGAGCAACCTGATCTAGTTAGCAGTGTCCCTGCTCACTGCAGGGGGGTTGGACTAGATGACCACTAGTGGTCCCTTCCAACCCTAAACATTCTATGATTCTATGATTCTATGATTCACCTGGCTGAGGGAACCGGTACTCCCTGGGGGAGCCTGAGGACCAACCGGCATCTCCCCAGCGCTTGGGTGTGGAGGCGAGGCAGGTCCACACGGCTCGGCGCGGGAGGTGGATTCGGACTGGGCTCTGGGTCCCTTTCGCAGGAACACGGACTGACACACGGGGAGGTACAGGCCAGCCCTCGGGCACAGGGGGTCGGGAGCTGATCAGGTGGAGCGGGGCGGCGCGCTAGGGTGGGCAGATCTGCCGAGGGGCTTCCCTTTGGGCGGGGGGGCGTGAAGCAGCAAGGCTGTGCTCAGCAAACCTGCCCTCAGCTGGGACTGGGGCTCTGTCCCATGGCCTGGGGGAGTGGGGAGCACTGGCCCATCTCCCCGCAGAGCTGGCTCCTGCCTGCTCTGCGTAGCCATAAGCCGCTGTGGCAGAGAGGGGCTGTAGGACGAGCCAGAATTTATTCCAGGGGCATCAGGTCTTCCCTCAGAGACGATGCACTTGCCCGGCATCCCAGAAACAAGATTTTTAGAAAGCAGTGCCTCACACCGGAGCCTTGCATGGGTTCCCTGCAAAGCTACTGTTCCCTGCAGGAGCCAGCATATCCCCCGTGCTCCGTCCTTGGCTCCCTGGTACCCTGGGCACATGGGGCACTCGGACACTTGCACACTGGTTTCATGGCACGGTCTGGACTGCGTGGGAATGCTGCGAAGGGGACTGGTGTGCACTCCAACACAGAGACGTGCAAGGCTGTCGTGGTTTAACCCGGCTGGCAACCAAACACCACGCAGCCGCTCGCTCACTCCCCCCCCTCAGTGGGATGGGGGAGAGAATTGGAAAAAAAAAAAGTAAGACCCGTGGGCTGAGATGGAGACAGTTTAATAAGAGAGAAGAATAACAATAGTAATAATAATAATGGTAAGAGAATATACAGAATATATAAAACAAGTGATGCACAATGCAATTGCTCACCACCCGCTGATCGATGCCCAGCCCGGCCCGAGAAGCGATCACTCCCTGAGCCGCGATCACTCTCCCCACAACCAACCAACTCACTCCCCAGCATGACGTTCCATGGGCTGGAACAGCTCTTTGGTCAGTTGGGGTCAGCTCTCCTGGCTGTGCCCCCTCCCAGCTTGTTATGCCCCTGGCCGAGCAGGAGAAGCTCAAAAAGTCCTTGAGTAGTCTGAGCACTGCTTGGCAACAACTAAAACCATCAGTCTGTTATCAACATTCTTCTGGTACTAAATCCAAACCACAGCACTATCCCAGCTACTATGAAGAAAATTAACTCTATCCCAGCCGAAACCAGGACAGTATCTCAGGGCTTCGGCAGAAGAATTAATTATTGCTTACTTTATAGTTGTTATTGGTGTCTCCGCTGCACATCCAGCATTCCTCCCCTTCACTTTGGTGCCCTTGCGTCTCTCGCAAGGAAGAGCACTGACCTGGCAGAGGCACTGGGCTTTGCGTGTGCCCCTGGAGCTGTAACGGGTCCCTTGGGCTGTGCACGCGTCGCTGGGGCCGTGCCGGAGCGCAGGGGTGGTGCATCCATGCAGGATACGGTGCTGAGGGGACCTCGCTGCTGGCTGACCCTGGCTCACAGCGTGGGCACACGCGTCCTCTCCTGCCTGAACTCTCCTTCCTCTTGCAGAACTGTAGCTCTGCCCTTGGGCAGGCGGTTGGGTGTGAGTGACAAGCTGAGGCCCAGAGTTCAGCCCAATGCTACGCTGGAAGGCTTCTACGTTCAGCTGGGCAGGACCCCGAAGGAGGTGAGCGTCCCCAGTGTCCCAAGAGCCCAGGCAAGCAACACCTCCCTGTGCAGACACCCCAGCCCAACCAACCCAGCCTCGCAGGCGAGGCAGTTACTGTAAACCCTTCCAGAAAAGGAGATATATAAGCAGATATTTCAGCGTCTTCCAACATGTTCAACAGCTGCAATCCCAGCACCCCCTGACCTGCTGCGTGGTAAATACAGCAGGTAGTGCGAGAGCTGCTGGCCCTGCTGAGGGGGCAGCCAACACCCGCTTTGGGTAGGGTCTGTGGAAAAGGCTCCTTACTTTTAGCAGAAATACAAGTCCTTCAGAATTATAGAAATATTTAGGTTGGAAAAGAACATTGCCCCTAACTGTTCCCCTACCCCTGCCATCCCACCCCCAAACCCCGGCCCTCAGC